TAAATTTGTTTATAAACGCAAAACATAAAAAAATGCAGAGGTGATCAAATGCCACCAAAAGAAAGCTCTATTTGTGGGAAAAAATGGCAAATTTAACTAGTTGCCGACCGCAGATAGCCGAATGACGGCTAAACTGCGGCCGGCCAGTTCTGAGTGGACGTCATATGAGGTCCTCCCAGAACGCGCTCTCCCAGGGGGCGCGCACCCGGTGATCTCCGTGATCGCTGTGTCCTACGGACACAGCTGATCACGTGATGTGGTAAAAGGCCAATCATACCGGCCTTTTACCACGTGATCAGCGGTGTCCAATGACATGCTGATCACAGGGAAATGCAAGTGCCGGTTCTCGGCTGCACTTTCCTCACGCTGTCAGATCGTGAGGAAAGTACTGCCGAGAACCGGCAGTTGTCAGAGCGAGGATCGGCACCGATCATCAAGGCACTGATTATCAGTGCCATGATGATCGGTGCCCAGCAATGCCACCCGCAAGTTCCGCCCACCTGTGCCCAGCAGTGCGCCCACTAGCTCCGCCCACCTGTGCCCAGCAGTGCACCCACCTGTGCTCAGCAGTGCACCCACCTGTGCTCAGCAGTGCACCCACCTGTGCCACTCTGCAGTGTCACACACCTGTGCCCAGAAGTGCCACCTACCTGTGCCCAGCAGTGCCACCCACCTGTGCCCACCCACCTGTACCCCACCAGTGCCGCCCACCAGTGCCACCCACCTGTGCCACCCACCTGTGCCCATCAGTGCCTACCCACCTGTGCCCACCCACCTGTGCCCACCAGTGCCGCCCACCAGTGCCACCCACCAGTGCAGCCCAGCAGTGCCGCCAGTCAGTGCCACCAGTCAGTGCCCAGGGGTTGTGCCAGTCAGTGCCGCCAGTCAGTGCCCAGCAGTGATGCCAGTCAGTGCCGTCTATCAGTACCCATCATCAGTGTCACCTATCAGTGCTGCATATTAGTGCCGCCTATCCGTGACACCTCATTAGTACTGCCTATCAGTGCCCATCAGTGCCGCCTATCAGTGCCCATCAGTGCTGCCTCATCAACGCACATCAGTGAAGGAGAAAAAATACCTGTTTGAAAAATTTTATAATAGAAACAAAGAAACTTTTTTTTTTTTTTTTTCAAATTTTTTGCACTTTTTTAATTTATAGCGCAAAAAGTAAAGCGCCCAGTGGCGATTACATACCACCAAAAGAAAGCTCTATTTGTGAGAAAAAAATGATCAAAATTTCATATGGGTACAATGTTGCATGACCGCGCAATTGTCAATCAAAATGCGGCAGCGCTGAAAGCTGAAAATTGGCCTGGTAAAGAAGGGGGTATAAGTGCCTGGTAGGCAAGTGGTTAATATATGTACAGCATTGCATGACCGTGCAATTGTCAATTAAAATAATGCAATGCTGTATCGCAAAAAATAGCCTGGTCAGGAAGAGGAGTAAATCTTCCGGAGGTCAAGTGGTTAAAGTATCTGTTTACCTTACCTGTTTACCTTCGCTTCTTGTCCCAGATGCACAACAGGATCTAAATAGAAATCTCTCCAGAGTGAGGGGACCACTTTGTCATCAGAATAAACCTCCCCTTTGAAAGATTTTCTCTCACCTCCCATTCTGGTAACAACTGTAAAGTTTGTGTATTCCTTTTTTCTGTTCCAGTCACAACGATCGCCAGGAAAAGTAGAGAGTGAATCTCACTTGCTGGGGCAGAGGGTTCTAACACTTTTCTACTCTAATTTAAACTTTAAAGTTTAGCTGTGGATACATGTTCTATGATTGGAGAAAAATTCCTTTACTTTTAGGTACTTTTGTAAAATCTGATGGAGTTGATGAAGTGATTGTAAAGCTTAATTTGTTTTTAATTAAAATAATAAACATGTTATACTTACCTGCGACATGCAATTGTATTGCACAGAGCGGCCCTGAACCTCCTCTTCATAGGTCCCCGGCTGGTGCTCTAGGTTCCTCCTCTTCTCAGTGTGCCACCACAGGAAGCCACTTCCTATGGGGGTACACCTGCAGACTTGCTCCTGGCCTTTGTGCATCTATAAAGACATAGCGCAGCTTGGCCATGTCTCCTCCTCACAGGATTTGATTGATAGCAGCAGGAGTCAATGGTTCTGTTGCTGAGTCCTATGAGGAGTTTAAGAGCACTACTGCACTGAAGCGAGATAGAACACAGGTTAGTATTTAGGGAGGTGAGGGAGAGATATAATAAATGGGACATTTTTTACCTTAATGCTGAGAATGCATTAAGATAAAAGATGTCCTGTCTTTAGAAACACTTTAACATATGTCGAGCCATTCTGCTTGTTTAGGCTGTTGGGTGCTGGCATCACCACCTTAACTAAGGGAAACCATCGGTTTCCTGCTGTGCTTTGTGAATAGGCCACAGTCCTGTGGGACCTTGGAAGTGTTGGAAGCGGAGGGGGGAGGAGGCAGAAAAGCGCAGCTTCCACTTTTGGGTGGAACTTCGCTTTAACCGCTTCCCATCTGTCCTATAGCAGAAATACTGATACCGGGTGGCAGGGGTGCAGTAAATCACGTATATATACCGTATTTGCCGGCGTATAAGACAACTGGGCGTATAAGACGACCCCCTACTTTTCCTGCTAAAATGTAGTGTTTGGGCTATACTCGCCGTATAAGACTACCCCTCTTCCAATGCACACCAGTGGGAGGAATAGTGCCCCATCATTGGTGTTAGTGGCAGGAATAGTGCCCCATCATTGGCATTAGTGGCAGGAATAGTGCCCCATCATTAGTATCAGTGGCAAGAATAGTGCCCCATCATTAGTATCAGTGGGGGGAATAGGTGCCCCATCATTGGTATCAGTGGCAGGAATAGTGCCCCATCATTAGTATCAGTGGGGAGAATAGGTGCCCCATCATTGGTATCAGTGGCAGGAATAGTGCCCCATCATTAGTATCAGTGGGGGGAATAGGTGCCCCATCATTGGCATCAGTGGCAGGAATAGTGCCCCATCATTAGTATCAGTGGGGGAATAGTGCCCCATAATTGGTGTCAGTGGGAGGAATAGTGTCCCAACATTGGTGTCAGTGGGAGGAATGGTGTCCCATCATTGGTGTCAGTGGGGGGTGGAATAGTGCCCCATCATTGGTGTCAGTGGGGGGTGGAATAGTGCCCCATCATTGGTGTCAGTGGGGGGGGCGGATAGTAGTGCCCCATCGTTGGTGTCAGTGGGGGGGAGGAATAGTGCCCCATCATTGGTGTCAGTGGGAGGAATAGTGCCCCATCATTGGTGTCAGTGGGAGGAATAGTGCCCCATCATTGGTGTCAGTGGGAGGAATAGTGCTCCATCATTGGTATCAGTGACACCAATGATGGGGCACTATTCCTCCCACTGACACCAATTACACTTGCTGACCCTGTTCTAGTATGGTGCTGCTGCAGCCAGCATATGTGGTTGCAGCAGCACCTCTACACTGAACACTTACCTGCTGCTCCTGCACTCGATTTTCGCAGGGCCGCTCGGCTCCGCCCCCTCGTCGGTGATTGGCCGCCTGTGTGCCTTTCCTGAGCTACAGTTCTGGCGGCCAATCACCGGTGAGGAGGCGGAGCCGAGCAGCCGTGCGAACATCCAGTGGCCGAACTGAAGGAGCAGCCACGCTTCCTGGACCGGATTGTCGTGGGAAACAGGCCCTGCCCACCCCTGTAATTAGTATCCCTTCCGTTGGAAGGAGGGGGGGGGGGGCGGCGGCACTGCGCCGCCCCCCTACAAAGTGTCAGTATGCCGTATACCGGCGTATAAGATGACCCCCGACTTTTGAGAAGATTTTCAAGGGGTAAAAAGTCGTCTTATACGCCGGAAAATACGGTATGTGATTTTGCATTTTCGACCTCGGCTGTCAATCGCTGGGTCCCGGCTGGTGATTACTCGCTGGCACCTGGTGATCGCCAAGTATCTCCGACAGGGAAGAGACCTGTGCATAAACAACACATGTCTCTCCACTGTCAACTCCTGCACACTGCTTTGTATGGCTCTGCATAGCAGAGCCATGCAAAGCATTGTGCTTGCAGTGAAACACAGACACAGCCAACATAATGAAACAGCGCACAGTTAACCCTTTGATCACCCCAGATGTTAGCCCCTTCCTGCCCAGTGCCATTAGTACAGTGTCAGTACTTTTTATTAGCACTGATCACTGTATTGGTGTCACTGGGGATATCCGTGACACCAAGTCAGTTACCCCCCCCCCAGTGTCAGAATACCCGCCGCAGTCCCGCTATAAATCGATGATCGCCGCCATTACTAGTAAAAAAAAAAAATCCAGTACATATACTGCCATTTGTAAATGCTATAACTTCCAGGTAAACCAATTAATTTACATATTGGGATTTTTTAGCAAAGACATGTAGCAGAATACATTTTGCCCTAAATTTATGACGGAATACTGTTTTTTTTTTTTTTTTTTCTCAAAAATGTCTGTCTTTTTTTGTTTATAGTGCAAAAAATAAAAAACTCACAGGCAATCAATTACCACTTAAAGTTCTATTTGTGGGGAAAAAAGGGACACAAATTTCATTTGGGTGCAGTGTTGCATGACCGCGCAATTGTTAGTTAAAATAACGCAGCGCCGTAATGCAAAAAATGGCCTGGTCAGGAAGGGGGGTAAATCCTCTGGAGAGCAAGTGGTTAAAGTGTTCTCACAGTAAGCTGTTTCCATGGCACCCCTCAAGTTTGGTGATTGGTCACTAGGGCACTGCGTAGTGAATGTCACATCTTCTCCCATACTCAGGAGTTTCATGTTTTACCAGATTTCCATGAGGAGTTTTTAAGTGCTGAGGAAATGCTGGAAAGGTATGGACAGTGAACATATAGTGCCTGGAATTAAACACTGAGGTGTCACACTGTACAGAGATCATTTAACACTTCAAATAGGTTTTAGTTTAGTGTTTGATTCTTTCTAGCTAAATACTGTATTTTTTAGTTACCGTATTCATAAAACTTATACATTTACAATTTTTATATTACAGCTGAGATTCTTGAGCTGGCTGGAAATGCAGCTAGAGATAACAAGAAAGGCAGAGTCACACCCAGGCACATTCTGCTTGCTGTAGCCAATGATGAAGAATTGAATCAGGTAAGGAATCTTGGATGTTGAAAGAACAATTTGATTTGAACCTTGATAAATAAATAGTGTTACATACATTTAACAGTAGAATAATTTTTTCAGTAGCTGAGATGACGTGACCTGTGGAAGTAGTTCAATAGTTGATATAATTTAATCCTATGTTATTAGAAATACGGTATTTAATCAGTCAGAGATATGTTTTGAATTGGCATTTGAAAGACAGCTTCTAGGCTAGAGTTGACACCTAGATGTCAATAAAACTGTCTCATCTGTGTAGCCATAGATTGCCACCTTCTTGAACCTAAAAGAAGAATCCTAGGCATTTTGGCTACACAAATCAGCAGAAGACAGGGAGAAGGCTCCTGAATGTCTGTCAGCTTTGATTCATACAAACAATTCCGAGGAATCCATTTCTCTCATAAAAGCTTAAATATTAGTTGCAGAGAGATGAAAATAATTCCTTCTGATTGGACACATTGTAGGCTACATGTACAAGTAAAACTGTATTTGTAGCCTATGTAGAATCCCAGAGCAACACAGCAAAATGGTTATATGGACATTGGGAGAAGGTCCGATTGGGACTGACTCATTGGTGTTGGAAAATCCTATCCCTGACCAAGTTACAAACACGTTTCTTCTCGGGCACTTCAGAGCACAGAATCAATTTCTCCCTCAGGGTTGATTGGCCAAGGGCTAAAGTCTAGCGCATCCATATAATATTGAGGAAACCTGAGAGTTGCAGAGAGATTCGTACGGATCAGTTCCATTTGATTCCTTTCTTTGACTTGATTGGATCTTGGTACATTGTAGGCCTTTTTATTTACATGTAGCCAAGTAAAACTGTACCCTTTTTTGTTCTTAGCACATATTTAGAATCCCCACTTTTGGTATATTAAACACACAAAATGGTTATAGGGCTCATATCCCTGGAGAGATTGGCAGTCTAAGTTCATTGCATCTGTATTGCAGATTGCATGCATTGTGTGTGTGTGGTCACGATTGGACTGTTGACTCGTTTGTTGTGTGTTGGTGTTGGAAAATAACCTTATCCCTGAAGGAATCCTAGAAGGGTATGCCAATTGCTAGACTGCTCCCCAACCATTAGAGTGCACCATATTGTATATAATATTCTTATCTGCCTCTGTGTGCTCAGCCAGCTAGCTTTGAGTGGAGTCCCCCTCTAGTGGTGGCCAGAGGTAATGCGGGATGTGAAAGGGTTTCACAGCCAGTCCTATATGCTTAAAGCGGAGCTCCAGTACCCCTAATAAATTTTTGGTAAAAGCAGATCCATGATAACCTTTCAAATAGCATTAACAATTGGAATAATTCAATAGTAAAAGCATTGTAATTACTTAGTAATTATTAAAAATGTACCATGATCTCGGAAGCAAGCAGGCGCCATGATGGCTGTGGGCATCAGAAGCCCACAGGTATTTATTTCTCGGAAGCGGTGCTGCTGGCTACCCCAGCATGCACCACTCGTTTTCGCGCCTGCGCAGTACAGACACTGCTCAGCGCGATGTACACACTCTGCAATTCCAGCATAGAGCACAGCGTAGGACACAGCAAGATACAGCATCCATGTCTTCCTGTAATCTGGACTCCGGTAGAATACCGTGAAACACCTCCCATTCGCGTCATTTTCCGGTTTCCAAGTCCCACGATTACAGGAAACCAAGGACTGGGATACAGGAAACTACATCCCAGGAGACCTTGCAAATTGCCTTATGACGTCATTGCCTAGGCGGCCGGGACCGGAATTGCAGGCTTGCAGTGGATTTAAAGGTATGTATATAAAAAAAAAAAAATATCCAACTTGTTCTTTGTTTCACAGGGACAACATAATCAAAAGTATGAAAAATGGGTGGAACTCTGCTTTAAAGTAAGCCCTCCTCATTCCCTCTTTAACCCAAGCCACAGACCATGCCCCGGTTAGCTAGTCGCTGTGGGTGTGCGTTTATTTGTAACATATAATATATATGCTCAAATGTTCTATTCCATACAACGTGTAAACAATTATGCTATGCAGATTTATGTAGCAGATTGTATGCAGAATGGGCAAAATAAAACAAAATGAGAAGTGCTTAAAATATACTAAAGTAATTCAAAGCACAGACAAACTTCACTGCCTACACCCCCCTTTCACCTGCACTTTTTTAATCCTCTCTTACCTTTTAAGCGGAGTTTTCTTCAAAAAATTAACTCAGGCCATCCACTCTTCTTTAGCCGCTGTATTAAAGCTGATGGCTCCTGGTATTTGGAAGGTACATATCCCAGGAGGTTTGAAGAGTAGAGGAGATATCATTCTCACCTAGGCAAGGGGTGGGTGGAGCTGAAAAAAAGTAAATAAAACAAAAAGAGTCAACATTTTAGATTCTGGGGTAGGTGAGGATTGTAATAAATTAAAGTCTATTAATATTGTGAAGGTCCCCTTTAACTTGATAGAGATTAGCAAGTGTAGATGCCAAATATTATTGGATACATACTCTTCTCTTTTCTGCTTATCAGCATGTTTGTCAACATATTTGCATGCCACACACTTTATTGGCTTCTAGTCCTGCCCTGTGCTGCTATAAAGTGCATTGTTAGAGGCCACTGCAAAGTTATATTTAGGTACTTACACTGTGTTAAAAAAAAATTAGAACATAATGATTTATTTATGCATTTTAAGCTTTCTTTTGTATAATTTATGACTGCCTGGAGTACAGCATTAAACATTCAGGGTCAATTTATACCACAATTTATGCGTTTCCACATACGTGTTTTTGATGCACTTGATGCATTTTCCCTTCTTTTTTTTATTCATCTCAGTTCAGGACATGTGTGTTCTGGTGCATTTTTTGATGCATTCTGGTGCACTTTTCTGCATTTCAGATGCATTCCATACAGAAAATGCATTATGTTCTAATTTTGTTGACGGCACTGGAAAGCACTGCACTTGTGTGAACTAAGGCTATTGAAATACATGGAAAACACTGTGCATGTATTTTTTGGTGCAGATTAAAAACACACTGGACTGCATCAGGTGTGAACCAGCACTGACTGCATATTCAACAGTTAAAACATATGAAGAATAGTGCCAGTAAATGTGCAATGAATGCATGGTGAAAGTCAGTTAGACCAGATGAATGTTTTGCCAGGGTATTTCTTTTTTTTCCCCCAGATATTACCACATGTTCCATGAGGTATGTGTATAACCATGCATCATAGATCTTGGGTAATAGTGAATAGAATTAGATTACTTCTGACACTGTTTATTGTAATTATACATTTCAGTTCTATGTGCAGTCACTTCAAATAAAGTGCATTAATCATATGGACCTGTACCTGATTGGGATAAAGTCCTAGAGTGAAGGAGTGGTGGCACCCTCTGATGTACTTTTAGCACTTTTAGATTCGGTTAACAAGTGGATCTAAGTATCTGGTGACTGGCTTGTGCAGGTGGTGGTGATCACATGGTGATTGAAGCAAGAACTCAAAAATACAGCAGTTCAGTGATTGTATGGATATTTATAAAAAGGACAATGGATATTAAGCATTTTGAAGCAATATATTTCTTTTTATTTGTTCAGTTTTCCCAAGGTTTGCACAGTTTAAAGGTATAGGCCCATATGATTGATGCACTTTATTTAAAGAGGTTGCACATATGTAAATGTATGCATGGATGCACTTTATTTAGAGTGATTGTATGGTTTGCACACTTTTAAGTTACAGGTCCATATGATTAATGCACTCTATTTAAAGTGATTGCACATACAACTGACGTTAATACATTTTATTTGAAGAGATTGCACTGTTTTTGACACCTTGGATTTTCATTGACATGTACAATACATCCAGAAAGTATTCACAGCGCTTAACTTTTACCACAGTTTGTTATGTTACAGCCTTATTCCAAAATGGATTAAATTCATTTTTTTACTCAACATTCTACAAACAATACCCCAAAATGACAACGTGAAAGAAGTTTGTTTTGAAATCTTTGCAATTTATTAAAACTAAAAAAATAACATGTACATAAGTATTCACAGCCTTTGCCATGACACTCAGAATTGAGCTCTGGTGCATCCTGTTCCCACTGACCATCCTTGAGATGTTTCCACAACTTGATTGGAGTATACCTGTGGGAAATTCAGTTAATTGGACGTGATTAGGAAAGGCGTAAATTGGTCTATATAAGGTCCGACAGTTAATAGTGCATGTCAGAGCACAAACCAAGCCATGAAGTCCAAGGAATTGTCCGTAGACCTTCCCAGACAGGATTGTATCAAGGCACAGATCTGGGGAAGGGTACAGAAAAATTTCTACAGCATTGGTCCCAATGAGCACAGTGGCCTCCATCATATACAGTATAAATGGAAAACGTTTGGAACCCTTAGGAATCTTCCTAGAGAGGGCCGCCTGGCCAAAATGAGTGATTGAGGGAGAAGGGCCTTAGCCAGGGAGGTAACCAAGCACCCAATGGTTACTCTGAAAGAGCTCTAGCATTTCTCTGTGGAGAGAGGAGAACCTTCCAGAAGAACAACCATCTCTGCAGCACTCCACCAATCAGGCCTGTATGGTACAATGGCCAGACGGAAGCCACTCCTCAGTAAAAGGCAAATGGCAGCCTGCCTGGAGTTTGCCAAAAGGCATCTGAGGGACCATGAGAAACAAAACTCTCTGGTCTGATGAAACAAAGATTGAACTCTTTGGCCTGAATGCCAAGCATCATGTCTGGAGGAAACCAGGCACCACTCACCACTTGGCAATTACCATCCCTACAGTGAAGCATGGTGGTGGCAGCATCATGCTGTGGGGATGTTTTTCAGCGGCAGGAACTGGGAGACTAGTCAGGATCAAAGGAGAGATTAATGCAGCAATGTACAGAGACATCCTTGATTAAAACCTGTTCCAGCGCGCCCTGGACCTTAGACTGGGACTACGGTTCATCTTTCAACAGGACAATGACCCTAAGCACACAGCCCACATAACAAAGGAGTGGCTATGGGCCAACTCTGTGAATGTCC